TGGCGTGCATGCGAGGTGACGCCGTACACGCATTTCAGGTCATTGTTACGCCTTAGTCCAAATTTGGTCCTTTTTTTGTGTCGCCCATAACCGATGAATATTCTAACAATAATAACTACGAGATCGGCGAAAAAAGGATTAATTGATGATCGATTTGTCAAACTTTTACTTGGGAATGTGAGAAAATTTTTGCTCAGTGATGTTACTCACGGTTGACATCATCTTTATGGCGACTATCAAGCCATTATAACTCCAGTGACTGATTCAGAATCGCATTTAATCTTTTGGAGAGTACTTTCTTTCCCTTAAAATCACCAATCTTACATGAAAAATGAATGAGTAGTTGTTTACAGTCCATTCGTGATGATCGGCATCGCGGGATGCGTAGCAAGTGTTAACCAGGCAGCCGCCTGGTGCCACAGCCAGCCGCCAGAGCTGGTACCAGCGTCGCGGTTGAGCTACCGTAAGCACGCTCTCGTCGTCCGCAATCTCTCGCAGAGAGATTTTCGCAGCAGCCTCGTACCTCTTGCGCTGAGGTGCGAGAATTCCCTCAGAGGTCGAGCTACTGCCACATATTATATATCGATCGACACAGCGGAAAATTTGTAGTCTATTAGTAATATACATTACATAAAATATGGAGGGCGTGCAAGAGTTCCTAGCACCCTTCCTCGCACCGAGTTCGCACCAGCAATCGCACCCAGGAGGGTTCTAGCACCTCCGCATCTCAGAGGTCAGGGACCGCCCATTGCTCCACCCATTAACTGCCCTCATTGTGAGGTAAGCAAGTGAAGAGAGCAGAGAATCAGAAATTGAAGTATTGAGAAAGAAAAAATTGGAAAAAAAGAAGTAGTTGTTATTTCATAGTTGAACTATGTGGAAATAACTATGAGCATGTGATTTGTGATTCACTGATTACAAATTTCAGTACTAAGTAGCTTTATTCAAGTTAATACCAATTTTGAATAAAGCTACTTAGTACTGAAGTTGACTTTAGTATGAATGCAGTTCAGATATAAAAAAATTATCTCTAGAAATAAATGTTGCCACTCTCTGGATCGTTCGATTTGAAAGTTTGATTGGAGAAATCGTTTGGAATGAAATCGACTGCTCAGGTGTATAAATGAAAATAGATCACTTGTGCATTTTCCTGAAGAAAATCGGTAGCATCACTAGAAGATTTCGAAATTTACATATTAGGTGGCCAATTTAGATGCTGGCTTAGGGCTTTCAGCGTTTGACTTCCCAAATGACTGTACTTATCGAAGGCTAGAAATCTACTTTTCGTAGATTCGACATTAGAAAAAAATCATATTGATTTAATTGGTCCTCACTTTTTATAAATACAAAGATGCGCTTGCACAATTGAGAATGAGCGCACTTAGAGGGCGGAGAAAAAGGCGGGGTTGTTTCTCGACCTGTGAAGGTGTGATGTCCCTTCCAGGTTTCTCTGAAGGTGCTAATCATCCTGCAAGAAAAGCGGCGAGGCTTTGGGAACTCCTGCCACGCCGCCAAAAAATATACAAAAACAAAAAAATTGAATATGTAAATAAACTGATGGAATGATTAGAAAATTAAATTGAAAGCATAATATCGTGGAAAGTTTAAAAAAATATAAAATAGATTGTTGAATGGTTTTTTGGCACAATTCGTTGTGACCTTTGGGGCAGAAGACTTCTAATACCAACTAGGTCAGATATTAGAAAAAGTTACCACATATGGAGGTATAAAAGATGAAATGATGCTGAGCAGCTAAGATTCGAGATGTCAAACTCTCAGCTTTACAGCCTTCAGTCTGAGCATCTTGCTCAAATTACCTATGTAGATAATCCGTCGCTTTTGGAGGTAATTTTTGTTCTTTTGCATGTTACCGAATATTTCTGAAAATTTATCAATCTCGGAATCCGCTACCTGCTACAAGCCAGCTCTACTCTTCAGCCGCTGAAAGTCGTGAATTTCGTGGAGAACTCGAAATAAGTGGTGCTAGGAACTCTTGCACGCCCTCCATATTTTTTGTAATGTATATCTATATATATATAAAACTCAAACACTGTACCGTGTTTGTTAGGATGTTTGTGGCTTATAGACTCCTTTGTATGTGAACCAAAGAGGCTGAATTTTGTTTCCCTATAAACAAGCCACGGCGCAAAAGATAGGCTACTTTTTTCGACAATTCGCTGGGTTCTTCTATCGATTTATTGATTTGTTGCACTCTCAGTAAGGGAATGAAGCTTATCAGCAGCTATTGCCGAACCATTCCCATACTTATGTAAACAAGAGCGGTACGATCCATTGTGAACTTTCGTCAGTAAAGTAAGGTCGAAAGCGTTCAGATGTAGGTCCTATATATTCTGTCTAAGACAGCGAGATGCATCTTTTGCGGTGCGAGGTAGTAGTGTTGTTAACGCAAGTCAAAGCCTTTTTTTGATGCAGATGTGAGCCAATCGCTAAGTTACAAGCTGTCTCAAATTGCGTGCCACACTCTAGCGTTGGAACCTCCGACATGAATTCCAGCCGCATGAGCGTGACTCTCAATCTGAAAGCTTACATCATATTTTGTTTATTGACTGAAGTCCTTGAGTTTTTTTTCATTAATCTGTTATCCAAATGGCTCACAAGTTGTGGATTACATATCTTTAACGTGGTAGAATGGCTGTTGCTTTGACTATAAAGGTATTCGCTCTCTAAAGCAAGGACAGTCAAAGAAGCACTTACTTTTGTCGTAGTACGGGAGAGGAGGGTAGAGTGCGGGAATTAAAACAGAATAACCGATTAGCGGAGAAGTACTAGGAAAAATGATCCTCAGGATAGCAATGGGCGCTACATTATTCAACGTTCTTCCACCTATATCGCAATGCTTGCTCTTCAAGTTTTTTCACGTCTTCCATGTTTCGAAAAGAAGAGAGACAATGCTGTTAAGTAAAAAGTGTACACATTTTATTTTTATTTTTGCAAACAAACTTCAATGATACACTACTGCTTTGAGTGTCACATATATCCAAAGACAGTGAACCCTAAGTGATGTTATCCCGGGCAAGGCCGGGTACGACAGCTAGTTACTAATAAACTACAAAATTTCCGCTGTGTTGATCGATATATAATATGTGGCAATGTGTATAATATGTAGCTCGACCTCTGAGGGAATTCTCGCACCTCAGCGCGAGAGGTACGAGGCTGCTGCGAAAATCTCTCTGCGAGAGATTGCGGACGACGAGAGCGCGCTTACGGTAGCTCAACCGCGACGCTGGTGCCAGCTCTGGCGGCTGGCTGCGGCACCAGGCGGCTGCCTGGGTAACACTTGCACGCCTCCCGGCATCGTGAGGTAAGTTTCAAAGCCATCATTCTGGGACAACGAGGAAGGCATGTGAATAGTAGAGCCAGGGCGAGCCTCTGCGAAGCAGAGGTGACGCACTGGTGATAACTATAAGTATCAAATCAACGACCATGTTTGGCACAAGAAATGTGAATTTTACTATGGATTTTTTTATTAAAGCTAGGACGAACTCACCTTTGTGAGCAATGTGTGCAAAACGAATGTGTCGTGATTTTGCTAGAGCTCCTTACTCACACTTATAGAAATGTTGACTGCTTTATAATCTTATATCGTAATCTTGATTGTGCTAAGCATTGTGACTCGTCCAACTTCTCACACCTTGTAGTTGATTTTTTCATTAGGGATCCGTCAGAGTTTACCGAAATTACCAGTATTACCCGTGTTACTCGTGTTACTAGTTACTAATTTACTCCTGTTACTCGTGTCACCACTGTTACCAGCGTTACTAGTGTTACTGGCGTTACCAGTGTTAGTCGCTACTAGTGCTACTAGTGTCACTAGTGTTACCGCTGCTTTTATTGCTGTTGAGTAGTAGAATGATCACCAATATAGGTACATATATAGTCTCATTCTAGAAAGCAATCTTGACTGGTGAGTAACACTAGTAACACTCTTAACACGGATAACACTAGTAACACAGATAAATGAGTACACGAATAACTCTAGAACACGAGTGTCACAAGCAATACGAGTAACACTAGTAACACGGGTAGCACTGGTAACATTGGTACTCCCTGACGGATTCCTTTGCTCGTAACAAAAATTTCGAATAGTCAACCAATTTGTTCAAGAGGTTTTTTGTTGAAATCATTCTCTGTAGACTGCTTTGAAATCAATCTCTGTAGACTGCTATCTTCTAAACCTTCTCCGTGCTTAAACGGGCCCCGAGATTGCAAGTGCACCATTTGGCTGCCATCCGCCAATGCGAAAACGAGAAAATTGAACTGTTCGAAAACTATTAACATGTTTTTTGCCTTATATGGTTGTCACTCTTATTAGTACGCTGTCTTAGTAAAAACTGTAGTCGCACTTAATGAAAGACACATGAACGGAGACCTATGGCGAGATATACCAAAATACTAATAGATTTTTACTCATTCTCACTCTTTCGTCTGCTAACCTTTTACTGATTTCGCCTCTTGCAGAAATGATAGTAGACCGATTCTCCCTACCAATGCCAACGCCAATTCGCCAAAGGGAAATATCCATTTCTTGGAGCAGTTTTCCGGTTTATTGTGGACGACATACTATTATTTGGACTGCCCCGCGAAGCTAACATGGTAGTATGAGTGCAGAGTATGTGTATTTGTCCTCTGACACGCGCCATATAATCAAGTTGTCCTTTCTTTTACTTCGCCATTGGTCAAACCAGCGAACTGACCAATAGCGAGGCGGATGTCGACTAGATCCACTTGGTAGAAACACTTTACCTTTGGTCAGTTCATTGATTCAAGCAATAGCGAAGTAGGGTGGAGGACTATATGTCGAATTTGGAAGAGTCCCGCGCGGATTCCCTGCAGGAACGCATGTCCGCGCATGTACAAGGGTGCGTATTTGTCGCAAATGACCGCGGGGACCGCCCTTTTTCGGCGACATATAGTCCTCTACCCTAGCGAAGTAGATTTGATGGCGCGTGCCTATAGGGATCACTAAACGATTATACTTTGCTAAGGTTTATTAATTGCCTCAGTAACATTTACATCTTTTATTACTACGGTGAATAACCATACAGTATGCTTCGCCACCGATAAGCGTCATGTATAAATAAAAAGAAATAAGAAAAATCAAGAAGTCTAATGGGAGCACGAGAGCAAACAATTGTTGGTAGCGCAAAAATTTATCTCGTATAAGGAGAAGTAGAACAAAATTCGAGAGAATGGATTTCTTATTGTCGCTCGAATATGCATATGCTGGTGAGAATCAATAGAAGAGGGTGCTTATAACAAAGCGAGATGTCTTTTGGAGATGATCGAAAGATTCCTGGGTAATCCATGCATCGTGAAATAGTGTATCTTACAATTGGAAGCATCCTTAACTGAAAGTTAATCTGAAGCGCTCTTGAGGTAAAAAGTACTTGAAATTAACCAAACTCACCCAATCTCCTTCATGCAAAAGATATATGCTACAGTTAAGGAGCCAAGGAACTCAGCTATGGAACAGATAATGATTGCAACACTACCTTCAGACTGACGCCATAGCAGCCTGTATGCGTAAATTGTAGTAACAGAAAATTCATTAGATACAGTCTAGTAGATTTTGCGCTTAATATAGTGCGCTCACGGCTCCGAATGTCAAAATCTGCACATGAATGAAAAGTCACATCTAAATGCCGGCCACCGCAAAGTCGGCATCACCAGCATGACCGTTTGTTCACGCTCAAAATTCGCCGCAAAATTCCCGCAAGCGCACTATACTGAGTGCAAAATCTACTCGACTATATGTATATTATAGAACTTTGGAAGCATTGGTGCTCAAATTACCAAACATTAGCGTATATGAAAGTTTAATGTAAGAGTAAATTTGAAACAAAACATCACAACCAGATTTTCAAATTGCATCTATAGCTGCTCTAATGATATGTTTGCAGTATGCACAATGCTGCACACTCGAAAAACAAAACATAGAAGCAAAATCAGTTAAAAAAAGAACAGCAAAGCACTCACTAAAGAAAGTAAAGATCATGCATCCCAAAATGATCGTGTTGTGCGAGCGCAAAATATTGGAGTGCCTCGGAACGCTTTTGCAGCTGCTCACTGATATCTCTAAACTTCAAAATTTCGTTAATTATTACAAGTGATTATGGATACCTTCCAGTTAGAAAAATCCGGAACCTGCAGCTAACATTCATGGCCAAGAGAATACTGGAAGTTATCTGAGACCAACGATCAATGGTCAACGGTTACGCTGATTGAAGTATACAACTTACCTTTAATAGCATGTTAGCAGCAATTTCCGTATTTCTAAGCATGGTAAGCAGCTTCCTTTCTCCAGACATGATGCATCTGCAAAACGTGTCGATGAGCGATGATTGTGGAAATGTTCTTACACTCGCTTCATTTCATATGATCATGTGTGCCATTGCACACACAGTCCACTTTGGCGTCCTCATCCTGAATTTGCAATAGCAAAAAACGCAAGAGACTGGCCCGTAGTAAACCTCCCATCCGGGCATCTCTCTCGACGCGGACCGGAGTTGAGGTCATCGCGCTTCAGTCCAGCATCCAGTGAGCTATTGATTCGGATGTGGATCGCTTCCTAGACATGATAACCACATGTGTTCTCAAGAAACCAACCACTTGAGCTGGTCTGGTCAAACGGATAAGCGATTGGAATCACACGCGCGCGTTCGTGGTTCGACACCGGCTAGCGCCAGGACTTTTGCTGCATCGCCGGACAATCTTTAATAGAGGCCACTGTCGAAAAAAATCGATGATGACCGCTAACAAGGATATCACTTAGCAAATGGACAGATAAAACAAAACTGACATATTTTGACGGAGAATTCATGAAAAACTGAAATTTTTGGAACATAAATAAAACGTAATAAATAAGTAGATTCTCTTCTAAAGTAGTTTTTACAAGAAACTAAGATTGCTCTGCAAAAAAAGAAGAAAACTTTTATTCTTGCTTTTGTCGCCAAAATCAGCTGTTCATCGATCCTTCCCTTTTCGGGCGCCGGTATTGTGCAGTTTTGCGCCGATTTTGTCTGCATTTTTTGGCAAAGTTTGTGTATCGTAAGTTACTCAGGAGCAACTTATGTTAGATGCAGTCACCTCTTGTCTGCGTCTCCTCTTCTACACACTATTTGGATCACTCTAACATCCGTTCACGTTGAGGTGACTTGAACGTGAGCTGATGTGGAAGAGTTGACTGCAGCAGGTGGACAGATTGTCAACTATCAGTTGACTTGACCATCTTATAGCATGGTAGGGTGGGTGGTCATCAGTTCACCTCACGTGCGGTGAACTGATGGGTTAAGTTGAGTTCACCTCAACTGATCGAGCTTTACTACGGGCCACTTACCGATTGTTATTGATTACATCAATTTGAGGTGACTAGTAACTAAAAAGGAAAGAAAATGCTAAGAACACCTTGGAAACGCTTACCTGAAGGCCTGTTTCTCCCACGAATCCAGGATGGGGACGCCAAAGGTGAACTGTGCGTGCAATGACACACAATGATCATATGAAATGAAGCGACTGTAGCTAAAAAGAATTGTGGAGAGGAATAACGAAGATGTTGAGGAGGTAGCAAAGGGAGAAGTTGAATCGAAGTCGGGCGCACGAAGCTCTACGGATTTGTGCGTGGCACTAGGCGTGCAAAAACATTGGCCGTGAATTAACACAGCCATTTTCACATGTCACATGGGTAGCACACGATCTCGACAGATCGTGCGCAGCTACACGATCTTGCGGCAAGATCGTGTGCTTGATACATCGCGAAATCGTGTGCTCGCACCTGATCATGGGCATGTTCGCAACGGTAGCGAGCACACGATCTTACGATCCGATTGATACATAGCGCCCCAGAATTATCTCTTCGAGAGTTTCCAGATAATGAGGAGTTCGATGCTTCTTATGACTTATGCCCAGGGAGGAGATTCTTATTACTTATTTCTCCCCCCCCCCCCCCCACCCTTCCACCACCGCCCATTTGAATGTATTGACCAGAGGTCGCCAAAGAAGAATTAATAATGAAAGTTTTCCCCTCTTGAGTCATAGAAAGCACCGAATCCTCACGTTATATATGGTTTAGAGGCTTTTAAAAAAGACGATTCTGACATATGAAGCCCATTTGAATTCATAGAGTTTTGAACAAGTCAAGACTTGTTCGACCGTGAACACCAATTTTTCAACTACTTTTCCAAGGACCTGGCTCTTGGCGATGTGCAATGGATTGTCACTGCTAAGGCATAATCTGGTAGGGCAAAGATTACATTACAAACTTATGAAGTCGCAACATCACACACTTTCACATTCAAGATTTGTAGGTGTTGAAATATCAGCTAAAATCAAGCAACCTAAGATGACGTTTTTTTGAATTCTAGTTCGCAGCGACCAACTCACAATCGTCCTTCTTTTGCAATCTAGCAGAACAACAATTCTTCAAATTCTATGAAGTCGCACATGCTATTATCTCTATAGGCACCGGTCAGACTTCACGCGACTTGATCGTCGCGATCTAATCGCCAAGATTTCCATTCATTTTCATTTCACATTCAAAAATGTCGGGCTGGAAAAGTATCACAATCGAATGCAAGTTGATCGGCATGGAATGATGTTGTAACAGTTGTCTCGTCGCGACTCAGTCGCGACGATCAAATCACGTGAAGTCTGCTCGGGGCCATACACGGATTAATGACAATTTGGAATTTTCCACAATTTTCCAAGGTTTAATCGTTCAGAATTCTGGTTCTCGACGGTTACTTTCTGGATCAACCTCCTTTCTTCACAATCTATTACAACTACATGTCTTGGTAAAATTTCTAGTCTCATTAAGTTTCATTTTCAAGCACAACATTCAATATACACGTCGAAATAGTTATGCTGCTCTATTCATCCTAATTGTGGCCTCAAAAGGAGTGTTGGGTCAAAGTTGTTGATCCCAAAAAGGACCTTTGGGTGAAATTGGAATCTACCTAAAGTCGTGGAGAGGCTTTGTTCTCCAAAATTGCAGGGAATGCTGAGTAGACGGCCGTGACGGTGGTGGCCTTCATTTTCTTGCAGTTAGTGACGGCGAGTATTTGAAAGTAACTTGCGTGAAAATGCTTTCATTCGTTTGCATTTGTTTTATTTATTTCTCATTTTATCAGTCAGTGAAAAAGTTGAAATTTTTTTTGGAAAGAAAATTTTTTTTGCGAAAAAAGACGTCGACGATTTTGGCAGTGGTGCCGGCACTACCACCTTCACTTTTGGCGGCCAATGTAGCTGGACCACCTTTACTACGAGAAGCCCGGATTTCCCCGTCGCACCTCTGCACTAACAGCTCAGCTTAGATCTGCGAAGAAAAAACCCCTGTGTACTGATCTTCCTTCACTCACCATGGCGACAAACAACTGCATTGATTTAAACCTTGAGTAAAAACGCTTCAACTGTTCCTTGAACTTTCGTCAATTGCGGCACTAGGCGACAGGTAGGCAGATAAAGAATAGCTTATGATCGTGAATAGGCAGCAAGGCGTTGCATCCTCCAATTGCTGAAAATTGATTTGAACTTGGAACGGTGTAATCTTCGAAACAAGGATACTTTCTGCTTATCACACTATCGGTGTGTCGTTAAGAAAGTCTATTCAGAAAAGACAGAGCCTGTTGTGCAGCAAAATCGTTTACTATCTGCACACAACACTGGTTATTTAGTCGAATTTAGCAGTGGGCAAAGCCAAAAATTTTGAAGCTTTAAGTGAAGTTTATAAATTCTACGATTCTCAATCAAGCGCAAGTCCGTCATGCAGCAAGGCTTCTATGCCAAAATACTGGCCAAATTGGCCTGCACAGGTTAGATTCGTTCGCGCTTGACCGCGCGATTTCCCTCCCACCTGAGGCGCGTGCCGTCACAATAGGGTCAAGCAAGGGGTGTGGCACACGATCGCTGCTCAGACAATCGCCGGGGGCAGGCGGGCACCAAAAAAATAGATTGCTGATTTCTCGCACCCCGCTCGCGGATTTTTTGGAAAGCAATCAGGACTTTTCGGAAGACCGCTTGCTGAGATCTCGATTCCTCAGAGATTCATCAATATATCTGCAAAAGATAAGAGCGAAAAAAAAATTCAGCAGGCGGTCTCTAAAAAATCCGCTGACTCAGCAAGCGGTCTTCCGAAAAGTTCTGATTGCTTTGCAAAAAATCCGCGAGCGGGGTGCGAAAAGTCAGCAATCTATTTTTCCAGTGCCCGCCTGCCCCCAGCGATTGTCTGAGCGGTTACGACCCCCCCCTCCTGATTGCTGTCTTAATAAGACCCCCTCCCCTGAACTATATACCTAAGATAGCATTATCAGAGTTGAGAAAGAGGTCAGGCACAAGTCTTTCGAAACACCCCCCCCCCCCTTTCATGAAAGCCCTCAAGCGACCCCTTCTTCCTCCTCTTAACTTCTGGACCTCAAAGTGTGACATTCTGGAGGGCACCATCTTTTTCTAGAGAGTTTTCAGATTTCTGAGAGCTGTACGCCCGATTTTCTGTGACTGCACTTTACAATCACACGTCATTTGACGGCTGATTTTGATCTGAATGGGCATATTGAAAGGGCCATTTTTCTTATGGGTGGGGCGTTCGGCTCCAAATTTCCAATGTAGCAAAAGGAAGCTATGTGCTCAATACTCATACCAGCAATGGAGCGCTTTCTGGAATTTGAAGGCAAGTTAAGGGGGTGCGGACACCCCCTTAGAAGCTGCGGCAGCCGCAGCTTTTAAGGGGTGTGCCGCGCCCCATTAACTGTATCAAAAAAACATTTTTAGCGGACAGTATTTATATGAATCGATAGCCTAAACCTTGTAGATTCCATAGGACTGTTTAGAGCCTAATTCGTCTTCTTAGCTCTGAGTAATATTTGGTGAAAGCACAGCGATCAAAAGCGAAAATGGGAAGAACGAGATTTTGGTTGGCTTCTAATTCCACAGCTTGGAGGTCTTCTGAAGCGGGATTCCTGAGGTGGACAAAGAAGGAGTAGTGCTTTGTCTTGAGTGCAAAAACGGATAGCTAATCATGTTGGAATTTGACCATTTCATTTAGGTAGCCTAGTGTTTTGAATCTTCAGAATTCCCTCACACTTTGTCTACAGGGGTTAATTGACATGCTAATTATGGATATGATACGAATATCATGTCATCGCTATTATCAGATTACCCAACTACGACCCCCTCCCCTTTTGACTCCTCAATACGACCCCCCCGGGTGTGGCGTGCCGCACCCCACGCTTGACCCTGCGTCACAATACCATGGGGGTTTCGCAGTGACTCCGCGTCTCCCACTTTGTAGGGGGAGTTGTTACACTCGTCAAGATTCATAATGGCCTGCGACAATCGCATTTTGGG